TCAGTTTGGACAACTCTAAACACTTAGCAGAAGCAGCACAATAGCTGCAATCTTTTCGCAATGCGTATCCATCCTGCTTATGCATGTTGGTCCTACCTCACCCTCATGGCAGTCTTGGGGCGGTGTAGTGGTAGGGACGGAAATCATATCTAAGACTGGTGCAAAAGCACTTCCTGTTCTGTAAGTCGGACTAGACTTGGACGTGGAGGAATATGGACTGATGATGACAAAGAGGAAGCTAAAGTGTGGTGACGATGGTGATGAAGGACTGGAATTTGGCGGCTTGGAGGGATACACGTCGACTCACCCAGAGTGGGACACTGATGGGAATCAACATCAAGAAGAAGATAGTCGTACGGGAGCGGATTGCATGGAGAAGGACTTGAACGAGGCTACATCAGATCTGCTCCAAATACTTCCCTTATCAACTCGTGGCAATGCGTCAGCCACTGATACAAAGCCTCAGTCGAAATCTCCATCTACTGACGACGATGCAGTTAACCGGGAATGGGAAAATGTCCATGTCCCATCCGCGGATAGTCTTGAGTGGGGGAAGACTGTGCACCCTAATACCACTCAATAAATCTAATTTAATGCCTCCCTATCCATTTCACTTGTCATCATTCTTCCACCGACTTCCCTCAGCGGCTCAGTTCTTTGAGTACAAAAGCATGTTTTCAAAAATAAAAAGCACATATGAAGTAACTTTGTCATACAAATTCTTGAGCCACCAAATACACCACAGGAGCGAAGGGCTACAAGGAAAGCTTTCATTGATGAACAGCTGGAGTTTGAGGGATGCTGGGTGGCATTAAGACAATTCTAACGATGTAATTACATGCAAGTCTCATTCTTTCGATCGCTCCACTGGCCACACAATCAACATCCATCCTATCATTGTCCTTACCTTGTCTCTCGCCCCATTTCACCTCCATTTACCTCATTGTTGAATACATCTCCAGCACTCATAGCTGTCCTTTGCTCTACTAATCTGTGTGGAGGGAGGAACCACTCGGTGGGACAACACTTCATTCTTCACTATCTACACCTCCGCCAACACAAATACTGCACCTCTTCTCCAGCAGTGTCAGAAACTTCGCCTTCCATTGTGTTTGCACACTGTCGTGCCGCAGTACTTTCAAGTAGCCACGTCTTAAGGTCACACAATGAGGAGGTCATGAGCAGGTGGGCAAGTTCACAAAGTCCGTGATTACATGCAAGTTGATGAGGGAGGAGGGTCGTGTTGGTACTTGTGCGCCGTTGTAGGGCCGGACGCTTGTCTGGGTTGGCTCAACCACTGGCGCCACGACATAAGACGGAACGTTGTGTGTGCAATGATTGAGGAAGTGTAACCGCTAACAAAACAACAAATGGGACCTACAAGAGACATAAAACGCTAGATTACAATGTAAAATAGAGCTATAAAATGTAGCGAAACAGGTTTTTAATCGATGTCCCGCAAGTAATGCCGAAGGCCCGCAGATTCAGCAAGCAACATCTCAACTAAGTGTTCATTCCTTTTAGTCAAAAACGGAGGAGAATTGAGTGCAAAACTGGAGGAGAGAGTTCCCCACCTCACCCTTTGTTTGCGCATCTCGTGATGAATGCAACAGAATACTAGAGAGCGCAATTGTTATGCTTTGTTGTTCGCCACTGGGTTTCGGTTAAACATCGCATCGTGTTTTGATTCCTGTCCGGTTGTCGGTGTGACTTGGCCTCCTGACCGGCCGTGTTGCTAATGCAATTTTCTGACTCTCTCTCCCCTCCCTCCCTCCCTGTTGTAACGACGTCCTCAGGATCCGCCTTAGTCAACGTCCCTCATGAACGGATTACACCAACCACACCAATCTGCTGGTCATAGAATTTGCGTGCTGGAGGCTATCCAAGAGGATCTGCACTGCCCTTTTGTATGGAAGGTGGAATCGGGAATGTGGACATAGGCGAGGCGTCTCGTGTCTCCGTTGCAGGTGGCGAGAGCAGTGGCCGTGAAATGGACTGATGCGAGAAAGGGGGAGATTGGACACGGTACCTTGAAGGTAGGCTTGCGCGTCTTCTCACACAATGGAGCAATTTGCGCAAGTGCTGTGGAGGAATGCGGAAACGAAATTGTGCCTTTGGTCTACAGCTAACGTTGCTTTAAGTGTTGAGAGCAGATGACTCGTTCCACTACGCTGCGGTACGCCAATCACCAGTTTGCAAATTAATTCTACCTCGAAGCCGTGGTAAAGCATCATTCGTTTTACTACAGTCGTGGATTGGCTCTACTAATATGGCATGAAGGCACGATACACAAGGCATTGCCTCCACCGTTTTGACCGAAAGCATAAAATCAAGAGTTTGATTACAGAGGAGCCGATAGGCAGAAACCACAACCTCCCATCTACACTACCCAGTGAAACGTGCAACGCAAAGGAGTAAAATGAGTTCACTCTTCGCACTGTCTGCACTAAAATCCGGAAAGGCTGACGATAACCTAGACTGCAACTCGTGCTCTCTGGCCAGCCATTCGTGCCTAGAGTTGACCGAGGGTCGTGTTGGAAGTTGTAGTGCTGCACTTGTTCTAGCGTACACGAGGCTCAAGATGGT